ATAAAACGTCGCAAGGAGAGCACCTGTTTTTTTTTTCAAAAGCACTGTTTACAGTTGGGCTTAGGTCAACCACGAATGATCTCAGATTTCAGTATCCCTTCCGAAGAACACAATGCTTACAATAAGCCAGTCAAGACGCTGTTTACTCACCATCTTTGCTTTTCACGATTCGTACGATTGCATGGACTTTCGTTATCAGATTTAGTATCAGTACAACTGATAACAGTATGAAGACAATGATCAAAGTGATGAATAACAGATAGAATACCCATGAGTTTGGAACCTAAAATTATCGTATGAGTGTGTTCTTTGAAGTAAGCACGATTCTTTTGCAGTCTAATGGCTAAACTTCGTCTACAGAAGTCTTTCGCAGATAGGAAAAGTAGTTTTGGAAGTGGCGTTCTATACATTCACTGGAATGCACCTCATTGAGAATAGCCACTTCAGCTCTTACCCTCCTTTGTAAGAAGGCGTCAACAGTTTCTGTTATCGACTGAAGTTAACACAAGCTTATAAATCATTAGCTTCCTCAGTAATTCTGTTTTAACTCTCTAAATAATTGTCCACAATGTCTCTTAATTTGCTTCAATTTTTTCACTATCTAAGCGAACGATGAACAAATTTTAGTTAGGAATGCAGTTTACAAAATCAGGGGAATTTTATCTTTTCTTGTTGTAAATAATGTCTTAACACTTTTGAACGCGTATAATCGTATAAAAGTCTAATTATGCACCGGACGTCACACTGAATGAAAACGTAATTGAGAATAGCACAAAAAACGTAATTTTAAAAAAATCATTGAAAAGATAACTATTACCTGTGATACAGAATCTCCAACTTGATAGGTGACCGAACCAGCATCTTTCGCTATATTCGCCACAGCCTTAACAAATACTTTCGCAACAAATTCAGAAACACAGTGTGCGATTACGCACCTGATCGAAATTATCCAATGTGAGATTAATCCTACTCGTAATACCATTTATTTGTCCATTTATATGTGCAACTAATGTGCTGAGTTGTGCTAATGTGCCGCTAAGTTCGTTTATCGTTTGGTCTACGGACATACCTGTAAGAGATTGTGTTGCTGTAGGTATGGTAGTTAGGGGAAGAAATGATGGCAAAAACGTTTTGGACAGAAAAATGAGATAACACATGGGCGAACAGATCAGAGTCAATCGATCGATCGCTAGGTTTCAAATGCACTACGACTCAGGATACTGTAGGGATACGGTAGGTGACTTGACCATACTAGAAGTCAGTTCTAGCAGGAAGAAGATAATGTGATTTGAATCTACGAAGCGGAAAACAGTTGGTAAGGCCCGCGACTGCGGTTACGTAGGAATACGGTAATTGCGGAGCGGTACGACGTTTCAAAATTTAGCAAGCAAAGAAGTGAAATACACCCAGTCTATCAAAGAGACCTACAAACGCATTCTGTAAGTAAGATTTCGGTAATTAGAGAAGGTGCCAAAGTAATGTATTGGAAAAGCGAATTGAAAAAGAACACAAAAAATCAATAATAGAGCCGCAGAACAACAGAGAGCAATCGATAATTGATTGCCTTATAATTATATGCACTATCTCGCAGCAAAAGCAAGCCGCAGTGGTCGTGTCGTAAATTGTAGCAGAAGCATGCAAGATACACTTTTACGACTTTCTATTGCTTTAGTGACCAAGCGCCACCTATACAGTAGCCGGAAAAACTGAGGGCGGGGGCTCTTTGATAAAATTTGGTTTCTAAAAATCCCGCAATTTTGAAAATCTTGAACGCCAGCCTTATTTTCTTACAATTAGACCTATCGTACAAAACCTTCCCTCTAACATGACAACCGGACCCTGTCGTCGATGACGTCATTACGATCAAAATGTTTCAAATGTGAAATGTGCAACGTGTGCGCAATGAGTAATGCGCCCGATTTTTTCGTGATTCACCCGGAACATCTATCTCTCAGGTCAGTTAACATTCGGGTATTGTAGAAAACTTTTTTTGCACAACAACGCGAAGGCTCAATAAGCAAGTAGAATATGCAAGTAGGACGGCTGCGAAAATAGGAATATAGGCGGGTACTCAAGTTTATATCGTGGTAGTGTCTGTGAGGAAGATCTGAACTACGAAAAGATTAAGTGAATGAATGAATGAATGAATGAATGAATGAAT